AGTAGTGTAGTAAGAGAGTTATAGATTGTTCTGATTATCTCAACACAGACATAATCTACTACTAAGGGGGAAAAAAAAAAAAAAAACTAATACAATCCTATGTACCAAGCACTAAAATGAAAAGGCATTAGAAAGGTCTGGCATTAGAAAGCTCAGGAAAAGCAGTTCAAATTCCACAGTAAAATGTTCTGGATGTTCCTTGTTCAGGATCCACAGACCTTTTTCTCAACTTCTCTCAACTACCAGAAACCCACAGCAGGATTATATGAGTACAAACAAGGGCTTTTTTGGGCTGTTGGTGTTTGCAAGTGTGGCAGATGGCATGCAGTCCAACTGTCAGAGCTCATGGGGCTGAAAGCTGGCATAGCAAGCACTGTATAAATGATGCTCCATAACAAAGGATAATCTTTATTTTTATTTATGAAACCAGATGTTAAATTTATGATGTTCTGTTAGAAAGAAAAGGTTTGCAAGTATAAGGGGAAATTAAAATTCTATTTTCCTATTTCCCCATGAAAGAACAGAATAGCTGATCAAATCATTTGCTCATGAAAAAATGGAAGGATGAAACTAGAGGTCTAATCCTGAGGTAAGCAGGCCAGATCGCCATGTACTACAGGTCATGTTCGGCAGTTTAAAGGCTGTAGCTCCTCTTCTTAGTATTTATTAAAGAAGCTTTATGCTTATTTAGTATTCATTCATGTTTCACCAAAACACAACATGAGATTCATGAGTTGAAGCGGCTGATACCTCTTGTATCTGGTTGCCAAGACAGAGTATGCACGTGCTACCCCCTGTGACCCAAGCAGTACAAAGACCAGAGGGATACACGGAGCAACATCAAGCCTTTTGTTCTTCTCTCCCAAGGCTATTCAGTGTCCTTCTTGGGCAGAATTTAAAACCTTCTTAGAACACTCACAAAATCTTCATACTCAACACGGCAAACCAGCTGTTACACAATTGAAATGCTTAATTTCAGCCATTTCAAAGTAGCCATAAAATAATTCCCTTTATGACTACACAAAATACATCCAAGTTGTTGTTCATATCAATCATGATATTACATTATTATGAATCATACATAATGGGCTAAATGCATAAAACTCAAGCATTGCTCCTCATCCAGAAAATCAAAACCCTTGGGAGATAGCTGCGTAGCTGTGTGGGGAAGGAAACTCTGGGACGAGACTGAATCTGCAGCCTAGAACATGGTAGGCCATTGAGAAGATTCCAGCACTAAATAAAAGGAAAGAGGAAGAAAATAAAGTCCCTTGAAAGTAAACACTCTAGTGGCAAGTTAGGTTTGGATCATTACTGCAGGACCTGCTGCTGAAGGGAGCCTCCACAGGAGACAGAAGCATTGCTTCTGATGTCACCAAAAGAGCCGTAAGCTGCTGACCTGCACATTTCCTCAATTAAAACATCAGCTTTTTTTACCCATGATGTCATCATCTGTCTTATAAATGGATTCTTCAGGAATAGGTTGGCTGCACGCTTTGCATGCCTTTACAATGCATAATTTGATCCACCAGGGTCAGGGACAACTCAGCTCCCCAAGCCCTTTGCCACTGTGTGAACTGAGGCAAGCAAGCTTCAATCAATGAAGCTCAATCCATTAGTATTTCTTCTACATGTTTATTGTGCTATAGGTTTTTACTAGGAGATTATGGCTTTGGAAATCATATTGCAGGGATAATTTTCTGTCAATAACAGAAAAGAAGTATTTGCTTTAGAAAGAAAAGCTCTGAATGCCTGACTGGACCCACCCTGTGATGGGCTGTGGGATACACCATATGGATTCAGTGCAGACAGGGGCACAAGCTCTGGGAACCTTTTTGGAGGAGGCAGCTGTGATCATAAAACAGATCTGAAAGACATCAAGATTGCTGTTGACAGAGACAGCCAGTGACATCTAGAACAATGTGATCCGTGTTAGCAGCTCACCGGGCAGGATGATCAGTTGCAACACTGACATACATCCCAGCAGGGAAACATGTTTTGACTGCAGATGTAGCCTTTCTCAGAGAACTCTTTGACAATCCCACATAAGACGTTACATGCAGCTAATGCTCAGTACATGCCAGTACCTGGCTGCATGCCCTCATCTGCATCACACTGAAGAAACATCAGTTTCTTGGTATTTCTTCTTGTTTGGGATTTTCCCTCGTAAGAAATGGATCTCTGACTAAACACAGGATTAAGCCTGCAACACTGAAGGCCATCCAGAAGATCAAGGAGTGAAAATCCCTCTGAAGGAGATTTCAAGTGCAATTAACGTTTATTCTCAGTAGCCATTCTTTCATGTGAAAATGGCATGGGGAAATGGAGCCTTGCTTCCCTTCCACCCCATGGGACTCGTCTCCTTGGAAGTTGCAGAGAGAACCAATGCAGTTTGATAAAAAAGGCTTTTTTTCTTTAGCCAAGGTGGAATCAGAGGTCCCCAAGTAACCAAGTGGTCAGACAACACAACCTAGTTTCCTTCTCACAGAGTCCCCATTAAAGAGCCCCCATTCCCAATGACATAATGAACTACTTCGGCTGCTGTCTGTCGCGTGACTGGCAAGCAGGTCAAATACCCTCCAAACACTGACCTTTTGTGAGATCAAACTGAGGACTTTCTGATCCAGACACCACCCCGAGTTGTTGATTACACCTCTTTTGTTACTCTGCTTCCTTGTTCACAGTTATGTTATAAATTACAGTAAAATTACATTACTTATTTATTAGCTTCCTGCTATTTTTATTGCTTCAAGAAGGTATTCAAGTTTCTGTCTATATGCCATCACCACTCATCCTCTGAGTGGTGCAGACTGTGATCACCCCCACATACACCTCTGAAGTACTGGTTGTAACACTGTGAGCTCCAGCAGGCTGATACTCCTGTAAGTAAAGCTCTCTGTGCTCTGAGTAGTGCTGTGCTGTACCTCAAACGTGCTCCCGCCAGATTACACTGCCATCTACTGTGACAATCAGATGTCTCAGAGACAGGTAGAAATAAGTGAATTTTCACAGGTTCTGTTCACCATCTGAGAACGAATAAAACCTGAATGGCAATGTTTCAAACTGGTATTAGGCTATGCCACATGTGAAGACTACTTTTCACATCAACCTCTTTGAAGTTTTACAGACATGCCAAAACATGTCTCCTAATCTATGATTACATGGTTTTTTACCTCTCCAAACATTTATTTCAGCAGATGAGTTTATTTTCTACTACTCTCTTACCTAGTTTCTCCCAGTATTATCTGTAATGTGATTCTATATCTGGACCAACTCCCAGGATAAGGGAAGGAAGCTTGAAGTGGTGATAGGAAAAAAAAAATAAAACCCAACCACAAAACTCAACCTCTGCATAGTTCTAGGAGTGCCAGAGCGAATGAAACCTAGTTTCCAGTGAATAAAGGGAGTTGGTTTATGGTGGCTAATAAACCCTTGGCTCTATTCCAAGCTATTCCCATGGCTAGGAAGTTCCCAATGTAGATTCTCCTGTTTTCAATACAGGCAGATTTCACAGTGCAGCTTTGCTCTGAGCAGACTCTCAAGCCTTCCCTTTTCACATAACTTGCCAGAACTTTGTATCATGAAAACCCCTACTTCTGTCACACATCAGTTAAAATGGGAAAGCAATTCACAGAACAGGATAAGAGAACACAGTGAAAGCTTCTATTTAAAGGAGTGCTGAGTCTGTGCTCCAACTGCCTCCGTGCTGCTACCAGCCATGCTCCGAGCCCGATTCCCACCTCCAGCACTCCACTTACATTGAGGCAAGTGGTGGTGCCAAGTGCTCTAACATTCAAAGAAGTCCAGAACAATTGGCAGAACTCTGAAATTGGGTAAAGTTAATACCTTGTAACACTGGAGTTTTACAGAACCAAGACAAAGGTCAGGCAAAAATCCTTACCTGTAACAATGCCATAATTTGGAGGTTCAATGACAGCTCCGTAGAACTGTATGATGTTTTTGTGACTGAGGACACTGAGTATTTCTGCCTGTTGAAAACAAACAAGTCAGACAATTAAGAATGGGGCATTTACTGCAATAATTAATTTTATATCCAAGCGGATATACAAATGTATATGTAAGCACACACGTATCTAGGAAAGACTGTTCACAAATGCTTGGCATTTAAAAACCTCATGAAGACAGTTTGGCAGATGAATGCTTCGTATGTTAGGGAAAAAACAGAAAAATTTTCAGACTGTACTTTCATGGCCAAAGCACAGATGTAGAAACTAAGTCTTAGGAAAAACTGAAGGCCTTGGAAAACTTTGTTCAAAGAAAGAGCTGGGATTTTTGGCACAGTTGCAGCAGTCCTACCCAGAATCTGTGTTTATGCACAAAGTACTACGGGTTCAGCAAGTCCAGCACTTGAGGCTGTTGGAGCATACCATGCACACACAACTCCGTCCAATGTTTACTGGAAACGTGGGGTTTCCAGGCATGCGCTGTACAGTCTGATTGAAGAGGCACAGCAAGCATGCCTGACATTGCCAAACAGCCAGCAGTGCATTTGAAACTGCTCCTCAGAGCAGGCTGCAGATGTTTGGAAATGCTGGATAAATACACAAAACCTTCAAATTCCACTTGAACAATGCTTTGGGGTTTGAGAAAGAGACTGAAAGACAATGAGAATGTATCCACAGAAATTACAACATACAGTCCCTGCAGATTTTGAGGAAAAAAAGAAAAGGTCAGATACTTTCTTCTCAACAGTTTTGCCTCCGTAGTACATTAAATATTCTAGAGATTTTAAACACATTTTTACACAAATACATATATTACGTGAATACAGATACATATGATTATATATGTTTCTCTACAACAATGCATTAAGACTTTGAGATTCTGTTAACTCTATACCAGTCAGGAGTATCTAACAAGAACAAAATAACAATTAACTCCTCTGATCTTATCAAAAGTATCTGATCTGACAGATCCCTTCTCAGATTCCCTGACTGGCTGTAGGAGTGAGTGTTGCTGTTTATCTGCAGATGAGTCTTCCCACATTTGCTTAGATAGTTGACAATTAAATTATTGTATGGCCTTGTAGATTCCACTGAAAACAGAAGGGCTATAGCATCTCTGATGCAGAAAACCATGGTACATTAGTGCTAACTGCTATAGTAAATGTACAGCCACAGCAAACGAGCATTATTTTTTTTTTGGCCTATGTTTTATAGTCGGTACCATGATCCATGTGCGTAACTGCATGATTACAGATAAAGGCATCAGATAGCTCAATTTTTTGCTGCTGTTGTTGTTTAAAGCCTTTTCTAAGTAACTTCAACACAGTTTTGAATTAAGACCCTTATCTTTAGATAGTGTGCTGACAACTCCGTGTATTCAAATAAATCTGTAAGTATAGCTTTGAACTTGAGTTGCACTAGTTCTTCATGCTGCTTAGACTGCTCAGCAAGGGAAGCAGTGCTACCATGAAGCGAGTGGTCTTTTTTCACAATACCAGAAAAGTAATTTTCACACGTGTGCTGTTTTCAGCAGGTCATACTGCAGACTGAGTCACCTGCAAGTCTACAAAATAATTTAACCGGCAACTATCTAAGCAAATGTGGGAAGACTCACCTGGAGGTAAACACCAACACTCCTACAGCCACTGAAGGGATCCAAGAAGGGATCTGTCAGATCAGCATAGGATCTGTCAGCAGCACAAGCTCTACTCTCCAGCTGCAGCCCCACCAGCCCCACAAGGCAGGGGACTCCAGCAGCAGTAGCACTGCCTATTTCACAGGCTGTACCACCGACCTCCTTCAGTAGCCTGGAGGGTACAAATGACAGCTCAGCCATTCAAAACTCCATCTGCATGGGTTGGCGAACCCAAGACTCCTTTACTTCAAAAACTTCTGTAGTTTCTACATCAGGAAATAATAAACTGGGGAATGTCCTCCAATTCCTACCAGCATTACTGTTGGATAACCAGGAGACCTAATACTCCTTGACTGCCTACCTGAACATTGCTAGAAATGATACAGGGATACCAGGCCACAAACACTGAACAAGCTATCTAAACCATCTTTTCTTGAACACCTTAGTCAAGATGAGCAGAATAAAACTAGATTAATCTTTTTAGAGAACAATTAAAAATGCCACACAATCAACACATCCAAGTGCCATAGCTCCCTATTCCACTGCAGCAACATGCATAACTCAATGACTCCTCTGTCTCACTGGATGCTGCTGGATCCAGTTAAAGCCCATCAGAGCCACTGGACAACAGGAGGAGCTGCACTGCAGCAACACCAGCAGCAAAACCCAGGCCTACCAATGACCCAGTGCTACCATGAAATGGACAAGACAGGCACACGAGGCTAAGAGGACAAGTCCTTCACTGTTGCAGGCATACTGACACACTGTGTTTTTATTATTTGGAGATTCAAAAATAATTACTTTTAAAGATTATCTTATTTACAATATATTACACATTAAGATCCCATTTTAGGAGTATGAAGAAATGCTGTGCTTGCCATGCCTAAAATCATCATCTTCACATTGATGTTCATACTCTAAACTGGGATTTAACAGACACTGAAGCAAGCTTCTATCTGAGAATACGGAAAGGCACCTACTAATTGCCCACAGATATCCTAAATTAGCTCTGGGGAAAAAAATGACAACTTTTTCTAAGAGCCACTGCCTCTAAAAGAAATTCTTTCTAAACACTTTTAATCAGTCTACTGTTGTTAGCACTAGTGATTCTAGACTATTCCTTTCATGTTTTACGCTTTTCAGTTGTGTGGATCAGCTGTGAACTCTATTAGCCAATTTAAAGACACTTATTCCTTACAATGAGAACTCGATGCAAGTCAATCCACATCTTTGAAGCTTTTGTACTATTTTTTTTTTTTACAAGAAGGTGCCATATTTCAACAAAAGACTGACTGTCAGCAAATTACAAAGTGGTGATTAAAGACCAGCATTTCAAAGGTCTCTTAGGCACATACAAGACTATTTGGAATCACCTTTTAGCATCAAACTCATACTGAAATCCAAAATACCTCAATGCTTTTAAGAAAATCCTGTCATGATTCTATCTGCCTAAAAGCCACTGAAGAAGGCAGCCCTCACTGGCTTGGGCGTGACACACTCACTTCCCTCAGTAAAGCTTCTACCTATCTTACACAACTTAAATGAGCACCTCTTGCCTTCCTGTAGCCATGGTGATGACAAATAACAAGTCTGCAATTACTTTACTACATTACCTTCTTGTGGGAAAAACAGATTTTATTTGTTTTTTTAAATGTTGGATCGAAGCAGAACTAGAAAGAGCTCGGCTGAAGGAAAGATGCAACCTAAACACATAAACTCCTTGGATGCAACATCAAGGCACAGATACACAAGATGACTGCAGTAGAGTTGAGTATTATGCTTAGTCCCATGATAAGCTTAGTCAGAGCCTGGTACTGATCATCAAACCGCACTAAAACCGTTCACCCTGTACTTACACCACAAGTATGGGTGAAATTACATCCCTTGCTCGA